GAGTTGGAGTCTCACTCTGTCACCCAGACTGGAGTGCAGTGGCAGCTCCCGGCCACCGCAGCCTCGACCTGCTGGGCTCCGGCGATCCTTCCGCCTCAGCCTTCCAAGTAGCCAGAATTACAGGCATGCGCTACCATGCCCGGCTGATTTTTTGATTTATTGTAGAGATGAGGTCTCGCTGCCCAGGCAGGTCTCGAACCCGCGGGCTCAGGCAATCCACTCACCTCAGCCTCCCAAAGGCGCAGGATTACAGGCTGAGCCACCGAGCCCGGCTGGGTAGATCCTTATAAGCATTTGCTGATCAGTAATATGATGAACACTCAAGGGGAACTCTTTGATAGTGCTTTCCTTTATAGTACTCTGTCCTGTAGACTCAACTCACTTTTGCTTTCCTATAGATTCAGCTGTTTCCTTAAACTCACTGAGTCCTCCAAGCCCACTGGGTTCCTCCTCTCTGATCCACAGATCAGAAATACTCTCAAGGCTGGAAGCTAGGACAATCATAAAGCTCATGTCTTTTGTTGCCTATTTTATCAGAGATTGTTGTCCTTCATTACTGATGTACAGTGTCTTAAGAACAGCTATTTGTTTTCTTTTTCCCCTATTTTTTTTGAGGGGGGGTTATTTTTTGCTTATTTCAGTCAGGAGAGTAAAATCAATTCCCCATAACTCCATCTTGGCTAAAAATGCAAGCTCAAAGTCCAATGGTATTTTTAATAACTGCTCAAACATGAAAAAATCTAAGTGTGCAACAGTAATTATTCTTTTTTAAAAAGTGAACTGTATTGCACTATCATTTCTTATTCTGGATCTTCTTTGCTTTTAAGTTGGAAGGTTGAAAGACCCTTTCATACATATTTTATGCTCTGAAGTTATAAAATGAGGAATATTTGCACACCCACAGCTATCATACCTATTCAAGCTTTTACCATATCATCCAAGTATATCAAAAGTTTCATAGGCTACCTTTCTATTGTTATTTACCCCTTAAATCTATCAGGCATATTGCCCCCAGATTAAACTTTCTAAAGTATTTTGATTTTAAAATTCCTTTCTCACAAATTTTCCATTATACTTCATTGTTTTAGTAAAAAAGCTAAGGCCAGTCGGACTCGGTGGCTCAGCCTGTAATCCCGCACCTTTGGGAGGCTGAGGTGAGTGGATTGCCTGAGCCCACGGGTTTGAGACCCGCCTGGGCAACTTGATGAGACCTCATCTCTACAATAAATCAAAAATTAGCCAGGCATGGTAGCACACACCTGTAGTTCTGGCTACTTAGAAGGCTGAGGCGGAAGGATCGCTGGAGCCCAGCAGGTCGAGGCTGCGGTGACCGGGAGCGGCCACTGCACTCCAATCTGGGTGGCAGAGTGAGACTCCAACTCAAAAAAAAAAAAAAGCTAAGGCCCTTTGATATTAAGTTAAATTAGTCCCATTTCTGAATTGAAGGTAACAAAAATTATTGTATTAGCTCACATTCCTAAACATAAATATATCCACACCCACTTTAACCTAGTAACTTTTAAAGAAATACCTCAACACAGAAATATAACTACCCAGAGTTCCTATTTCTAGAACAAAAACAAAACAAAATACCAAGTTTATCAAAGCAAAATCAAGATAATTGATTACCCTTACCAGTGCCTGGCTAACATTTCCTCCAGTGGCCAGCGATTTGAAATGGCTGCTGTTATAGACCAACTGAACTTCTGAGATTTCCACTGTTTCCAACTCCTCTTGCGTTTGCCGATCAATCACATGCAACTTCTCTACGCTGTCTAAGAGCACAACTGTGCGTGAGTTTATCCACTGCAATTCAAGCACACAACAAAGCAAAAGTGAGAACCAGATCACATCATCATTTGAGATAAGAAAGTGTAGCCACTCAGTGAACGACACTGAGGACCTTACGCATGTAATAACTTACATGGCAACACAATCAAAGCAAGAACTACTCAGTGACAACCCAGAGGACAGCAGGTGCAGAGGACACTACTGCCTTTTGACAGTGTAAAAATGACACCTTCATAGTGTAAAAGCAGACTATGAGCTGTAGACAGATTACAAGATATATTGTTTTCTATAAATTTTTTTAAAGAGCACATTGGCACAAATGACGTCAGCCTAGTGACAAACTCTGCATTTCTGGTTTTTATGACATTGATGAAACAAAAGGAAAAAGTAAATCTCATAAACCTAATTGATCAAAGGACGACTGTTACCATTGACACAAAACATATTTTTAAAAAGAAGCTATTTTAAAAATATATTTTCTTTAAAACCTCTCAAAAAATTGTGAAAAATAAGAATGGTGATTTATTTTCACATTGGAGTCTAGCTTATCTTGGGTTCTCAAGATGGTGTCTAAATGCTTTGTGCTTCTCTTTTGTTGATTCACTTCCTGCTTCTTTGTGCTCCCTTTTCACAGGCTTTTTACTTCGGCAGGTTACATGTTTAAACTTTTGGCAGAATCCAATCAGAATAGTAATCCTGTAAGCCAATTGGCAAATAGGACATGTAAATAAAATAATCTTAAAAAACCAATCAACATGTAACATGTAGGCATCCTACGGCAAAGCATATAAACTCCTATAAGTACCCAACCAATGGGAAACCAGGAGAGGAACTTGTGTTCTAGGGCATAAATATGCTGGCTGTAACTGCCTCGGTGTGCCTGCCCACCAGACACTCGATCTTGCAAGACTGTCATTAAAGTCTCACTTCTGCTGCACTCCATGTCTCAGTGTCCATCCTTTGATTTTGGACAGGTGAGTTCATTTATCACAAAATTATGAGAGAGTTCTTTGCTCTATTTCTCTTCTGTACTATAATTTTAAAATTACTAACAATAAAAATTTTCAAAATCTTCTAAAGGAAGCCATTCTGACAAATTTCTTGGATTGTATAAAATAAGATTTCTTATTTTCTTTAGAAATCTCAATCCTGGCCAGGCACAGCGGCTCACGCATATTATCCCAGCACTTTGGGTGGCCAAGGTGGGAGAACTGCTTGGGCCCAGGAGTTTGAAACCAGCCTGGGCAACATAGCAAGACCTCATCTCTAAATATAAAATTAAATAAAAATTAAGTATAAAATAAAGGATAAAAACAAAATTAAAAGAAATCTCAATCCTTCACCAAGAAATAAATGAAGTCTTAAAATGTGCTCAATTACAGTTCAAAAGTAGCCAGAATAAAGCACTTCCTCTGCATTTTATCTCTTTGGTATTCATGTTGGTTTATTTGTATGACCTAGTCCATGTTATCAGAGATTATTTGCGTAATAACATATGAAAGAAAACCAAATTGAAAATGGACTGACTTTCCTTTAACATATGCTAAAGATATACTCTATTACTGTATAGTGGCCACTTTAAGGAAAAGATTTGTTTCCCTACCCACCTCCAAAGAAATCTCTCTCTCAGAAAACAGGGAGTTTCATACACAAATCTTTTATGAAAAGCTCTTATAAGGTGATCTCTTAATTACTTTGAAAAACAGTGTCATTCAGGAAAGACACAATATTTAGCCTTATACTGTTAATCAGTACTAGTTTTTAGGTGCTTAAAAGGTCACCTGGTTAAAAAAAAAAAAAAGTAAGAGAATGACAAACAAAGAATCTTAACAAATTTTGTAATTACACCTGAGATTAGACCCTCACAATTCCAAGTGTTGACATTGTTGTAAATAAGCCTTTTAGTGGCAATTTACAAAATAATACAGTTAATGGTCACATCATGGATATGCCACAGGACAACAGAATGCAATAACTACTTAAAGTTTTCCATTGGTTTGCAAGTTTTCAAGTGGTATACTCCTATGTGATTTTAAAAGTACTATATCTCTAACATCTTAAACAGAAGTGATGATAAATTCTGGAAAATTGTATTAGATGATTCAATAAGGGGTTCTAGTGATGACAAAGACATCGATGCCTTATAGGACTAAACCAAATTATTTCTTAAAATGCGTATTAAAAAAGCATTATTTCTAAACAACAAGTTTGTCTACATGTGAGTTAAAAATGCAATGTACAACTAAATTAATAAACCATATAAAGAAAAGGTCTATTTCATCTACATCCTGAAAAAACCTTTTTATAGTCGTGTTATGGGCAATATGAGGCACTTCTTAATATTTAGTGTTGTCTATATTCATGCTATACAGAATGTTTCACTGGATATACCAGATACTGATATGTTAAAAGTATTAATGATAGAAACCCAGAAATACTATAATTATATTGTCTCAAAGCTAACACAATGATACAAAGAACTGCTTTTTTTTTTTTTTTGAGTTGGAGTCTCACTCTGTCGCCCAGACTGGAGTGCAGTGGCACGCTCCTGGCCACCGCAGCCTCCACCTGCTGGGCTCCAGCGATCCTTCCGCTTCAGCCTTCCAAGTAACTGGAACTACAGGCACGTACTACCATGCCCGGCTAATTTTTTTGATTTATTGTAGAGATGAAGTCTCACCAAGTTGTCCAGGCGGGTCTCTAACCCACAGGCTCAGGCAATCCACTCACCTCAGCCTCCCAAAGCACGAGATTACAGGCTGAGCCACCGAGCCCGGCTACAGAGAACTGCTAATGTCCCTCTATATTGCCAAAGCCCCTAGAGAAGGGCATGGCAAGGGGTCCAAGGACTCCTGCATATTCCCAAGCACATTACTGAGAATCCCCTTGTCTTCTATGCACTACCAGTAAGTAACGTCAGGGGATCCTTGACTTCCCTGAAGATTATGCCCAAATAGGGAGTAAATAGAGATTTACTCCCTTTCTTAACAGTTTGAACAATATAGTATCACTGTATAGTATCCTAAATCTTGTGATTTACATAACTTTTGTAATGCATGATGTCTTAGGCCCTAAAAACTTTCTTTACTCTAAATGTCACTATCTAAATGTAAAATGCAGCTGCAACTTAAGTTCTATACAACACTCTGCTGGTCACATGACTAATGCATGAGTACAGACAACTATGAGTATAAAAGTGGACTGCGAGGCCTAAAGGGTGAGCAGAACCATTTTAGAAAGACCTCGAGTCTGGCTCTGCTCCCTGGACTCAAACTCAGAAATAAACTTCTTTCTACCAGTTCCCTGCCCCTTTGATTTACTGGTATCAAGGGGAGCAGCCTGTGCCTTACTCAAACCTAACAACACTATTTGAAAAAATAAAGTAAAATTAGATACAAAAGAAATCATTCAGGACTGAGATACATGGCAAAAAGAGAACTCTGCAAGTTTTTAGCTACACACAAAAAAGGTTACACAAGCTCAGAACTACAAAAATGTACTTACAGAGAAAGCAGGGCAATTATTCTAAATTCTTTTGAACCCAAACGCCCCTTTGTGCTAAACAAGACATTAAAGAAAACTCCTAACTCTGCCTGTGTTTAGCAGGACACAGGCCGAAAAGCAATAATTCTAATTATGTGGCAATATACCAAATTCAGACATTATTCAATATAAGCAGGACTTCACTTCTGTCCATTTTTTTTTTCTTTTTGGAGACAGGATCTTGTTATGTTGTTCAGGCTGGAGTGCAGTGACTATTCACAGGAGAAATCACAGGTTTGAATTCTTGGGTTCAAGTGACCCTCCCACCTTAGCCTCTCTAGTAGAGAGGACTATGGGTACATGACACCACGCCGGGCTACCCATATTTTATAAGATCCTAAAAGTCATGGTTCATGGCAGAAATTCTGGTAGCTTTAATACACTATAAATTCAGAACAATTACACGAAATACATGGGGATATTTAATTTCAGTAATACTCACAGTAAAGTTGATGAGGTCATAGTATAGGTGAAGATGCTTTTGCTTAGTAACATGTATTGCTCCAGATTCATCTCTCTTTACCTAATGATGAAATAAAAACAACCTGAATATCAGCTATTATTTAAGATACTTTTTGACACTTAACTATACTCCCCCTGGAGTATACATCGCATTCAGTATAAATAAACCAAAAATATTGAGAATAAAGAAACTATCACACAAATAGAAAAAAAAAAATCATTCATTCCATGATTTGCACCAAAATGCAAGGCTTATCTGTACAGTGGTCTGTCTTAATGGGAAATTGTCTTTTGATGGAAATTTTACTGACAAATGCTATAACATAATTTTCACTCTGTTACAATTCAGAACAACCTAGTTTTATCACATCAATAACAATATTTAGCTGGAGTTGAAGTATAAAATGGGATAGTTGACATGGTGTGAAATCAAATAAAAGTTCACTAAAGAAAAAAATGCTGCAGTAACAAACCAGACTTTACTGAATCATAATACTACTATGAGGGGACTTTAAAAAGTTCATAGAGGTCGGGCTCGGTGGCTCAGCCTGTAATCCCAGCTCTTTGGAAGGCTGAGACGCGTGGATTGCCTGAACCTGCGGGTTTGAGACTCGCCCGGGCAACTTAGTAAGCCCTCGTCTCTACAACAAATCAAAAACTAGCCAGGCGTGGTAGCGTGCACCTGTAGTTCTGGCTACCTGGAAGGCTGAGGCAGAAGAATCACCTGAGCCCAGCAGGTTGAGGCTGAGCCCAGCAGGTTGAGGCTGCGGTGGCTGGGAACGTGCCACTGCACTCCAGTCTGGGCGACAGAGTGAGACTCCAACTCAAAAAAAAAAGTTCATAGAAAACGCATATTATGATAAACTATGCAGGAATTTCAATTTTTTTCCACCAAAATAAACTTATACCAACTTTTTAAAACATGTCTAAACAGGTTCTAGTTTGAGGCACAAAGAAAAATAAGACTTCAGTTTCCAAAGAGCCCCTATCACAGCAACATAAATTTTGCTAAAACTGAAGCAAGAACAAACATCAAATTTATGGTGAAGCTGGGTGGAAGAATGGTGGTGGAATCACTAATGCTTAAGTTTATGGAGACAATTTCCCCAAATAAATCAGCAATTAAAAATGGATAACTTGGGCAACCCCCTTGGGTCCCCTCCCACTGTGAGAACTTTTCTGTCCTCTTAATCCTGCTTTTAACAACAAAAAAAAAATGAATAACTTGTTTTTTTGTTTGTTTGTTTGTTTTTGAGTTGGAGTCTCACTCTGTCGCCCAGACTGGAGTGCAGTGGCCGCTCCCGGCCACCGCAGCCTCGACCTGCTGGGCTCCGGCGATTCTTCCGCCTCAGCCTTCCAAGTAGCTGGAACTACAGATGCGCGCTACCACGCCAGGCTGATTTTTTGATTTTCTGTAGAGATGAGGTCTCGCTGCCCAGGCGGGTCTCGAACCCATGGGCTCAGGCAATCCACTCACCTCAGCCTCCCAAAGGTGTGGGATTACAGGCTGAGCCACCGAGCCTGGCTGGATAACTTGTTTTAAGGGATGAGGTGATATTAAAGATGAAATCCACAGCAGCAGACAATCCACATCAATTTGCAAGGAAAAAATTCATCTCATTCATACTCTAACTGAAGAGGACCAACAGTTAACAGCAGAAACAATAACAACACAGACATCTCAACTAGGTCAGTTTACTCAATTCTGACTAAATTAAAGTTGAGCAAACTTTCCAAAAATTGTACCCAGATCAGCTGCAGACAAGAGCAGAGCTTTCAGTGGAAATTTTAAACAAGTGGGATCAAGATCCTGAAGCATAGTTTAGATCTCCCTTAGTGAGAACATGCAGTTTTTGGTTTTCTGTTCCTGCATTAGTTCCCTTAGGATCATGCTCTCTAATTCCAACCAACCTGCTGCAAAAGACATTATTTCATTCTTTTGATGACTGAATAGTATTCCATAGTATACATGTACCACATTTTCACTATCCACTAATCAGTTGATGGGCATTTAGGTTAATTCCACATCTTTGCAATTGTGAATTGTGGGGGCAATGAACATGTGAATGCAGGCATCTTTTTTATATAACCACCTCTGTTCCTTTGAGTAGCTATCTAGTAGTGGGGCTGCTGGATTAAATGATAGATTTACTTTTAGTTCTTTGAGAAGTCTCCATACCGATTTCCATAGAGGCTATATTAATTTACTCTCCCACCAACAGTGTATATGCATTCCCTTTTCACCGCATCTACACCAGCCATCTATTTCTTTAAAACTTTCTTAATAATGGCCATTCTGACTGGTGTAAGGTGGTATCTAATCGTGGTTTTAATTTGCATTTCCCTGATGATTAGTGATGGTGAGCACTATCTCATATGTTTTATGGCCATCTGTATATCTTCTTTTGAGAGATACCTTCTCGTGTCATTTGTCCACTTTTTAATGGGGTCATTTGCTTTTTTCTTGCTGATTTGTTTGAGTTCTTTATAGATTCTGGATATCAGTAAGTTCATATGTATCAGTGAGTTCTCTAGGTTGCCTGTATGCTCTGCTGATTATTTCTTTTGCTGTGTAGAAGGTTTTTTTTTGTTTTTTGTTTTGAGTTGGAGTCTCACGCTGTCACCCAGACTGCAGTGCAGTGGCCACTCCCAGCCACCGCAGCCTCGACCTGCTGGGCTCCGGCGATCC